TGCATAACCTTGAGGCCCACCTCTAATGACCCACTTCTGCTACCCAGGTTCCACCTCCTAAAAGTTCTTTAACCTTCTAAAACAGTACTAACTTTTCAAACATTGAAGCCGTGGGACACAAGTCACACTAAAACCATAATTGTCACCAGAAAACTGATGAGGCCATGGGACATCTGTGTCATGGCAGTTAGCAAAAAGAATCTGATTCCTTTTGAGCTGGTCATTGCTGACCTATATTTAAAATCCAATGGATGGGATGGATAGTTTATTCAAATTTGTTTAAGAAAAGAGATATATGTAATTGACTATTGACAATATACATCTTATGTTAAGGATTAAGTCCAATTTTTTTCTCCTTTGTTTTGTTTCTGCTTGCTACTTCTTCTCCAACTTTCTTTCTTTCTTTCTTTCTTTTTTTTTTTTTTTTTTTTTTGTCTTTCTGTGGGTTATTTGAACATTTTAAAGGATTTCATGTTGATCTATTTGTACTGTTATTACATAGCTTTCTTAGTAGTTTGGGATGGGAGTCCCCAAATACTCTGTAACTGTACTGGTATCAGTGTTTTCTGATCTTAGCAAAGTGTGCAAATCTCACCACCATCCAGGACCATCGAGGGTAACTTGGTGCTGCAACTTTTGATCCAATAACTATTTAGGAAACTCACGAAGACGGTAGTGTCATTTGACCCAGATTCCAACTTTCTCCATTTCCTCTTGACAATATGACATTCATTTTGTTATTTTCAGTATTTTGAAAAACTTGTGGAAGTGATTCTTTTTTAGTTTTGTGTGTGTGGCATGTAGTGTGTGTGTGTGTGTGTGTGTGTGTGTGTTCACACGTGTGTGAGTAGATCTACTAGCGACAAAGTCTTCTGGATGCCTTTTGTCTGAGGATTTCTCGACTTCCTTAACTTCCCCCGATAGCTGAAACACTGTTTCAGGAGATGACATATTTGCCATTCTCCTTCCGCCCTTGAAAAATGCTGTGTCTGCTTCTTCCCAGGGCTTTAGCCCCGTCCCTCAAGTTGCTGTTTCCCCATAGATAATATGTTGTTTCTCTTTACTTCCAAGTCTCTTTCTTGGTCTCAGTTTTTAAAGTTTAATGACATCATCTTTTGGTTAGATTTCTTCTGTTAGCCCATTTGGGTTTACTTGGGTTCTTATAACCATAGTTCTTTTTTTCCCTAAATTTGTGGAGATTCAGCCCCACGGTTACTCAGCTCAACCTCTTAGCATGGTTACTTCTCAGGTGTGTAAATCCATTTGGTCCTTCTGCTTTGAGCTGTCTTTGCTGTGATTTTTACAGTTTCCTTTATTGTACAATAATTTGTAACTTGTTACGTCTTTCCTCTCAGCCCTTATGGTTTTACTTTCAGTTTCTGTCTGCTGTCAGGGTGGGAGCCAGGAGCTGACCTTTCTCGTGTAAGTTGTGACTTTCTTAGTTCTTTTATGGCAGGTGATTTAAATCTCGTCTGGGTGTCTTGACTGCAACTTTAGGAGAATTGGGGTTCTTTTTCTTAATTTTAACAAATAGTCACCTGCTCAGGTTTATTTAACATGTAGGTCTCAGTTCACCTTTGCACATGGTCCCACTGAGAATCTTTCTAGAGCTTTGTGGTGCTATTTTGGTTTACTAGTTTGTCACCTACGGGCCTTTCTTTTGGTTTTTATTTTATGTGTATGTGTATGGGTCTGTATATTTTATGTGTATGTGTGTGTCTGTATATTTTATGTGTATGTGTGTGTCTGTATATTCTATGTGTATGTGTGTCTGTATATTTTATGTGTATGTGTGTGTCTGTATATTTTATGTGTATGTGTGTGTCTGTATATTCTATGTGTATGTGTGTCTGTATATTTTATGTGTATGTGTGTGTCTGTATATTCTATGTGTATGTGTGTGCCTGTATGTCTGTGTACCACATATATGCCTGGTGTGGGTGCTGAAGAGGGCATTGGGTCCCCTGAAAGTAGAGTTACAGTCCGTTGTAAGCACCCACGGTGAATGCTGGAAATCGAGCCTGGGTCTCTGGGAAGAGTAAGCAACGCTCTTAAATGCTGAGACAATTCCCCACCCTCCTATGAGCCTTTTGGCTGGCACCCTCCTTTACAGCGCCTGGGAAGCTGAGAGGGGCTTCACTTAGATGGAGTGCTTTTAGGTGGGGGAAGGGAGTCTCCACGCTCCTCTGACAAAAGCCTTCCAGGACGAGCTGCCCACTCTAGAAACCCTCTTACCGGTGCCCTTTGCCAAATGGAGTCTCCCAGTGGAGGAGGGAGTATCAGGCTATAAGATTGGGAAGTGCTTCTCTATCCTCATGGCCAAGGGACTTTCAGTTGGCAATCTTTCTATGATGCAGGGCTTGTGGAGGGTTATTTGGTGATGTGTTCAAGGTGGGTTACCTGGGTTACTTTCTGATGGTGCACAGTGGGCGAGTGGATGCTCTGTGGCTGTTATTCCTTTGGTCATGAGGCCACCAGCCAGTTTACCCCTCCTAGCTGTCAGAGTTCTCTTAATGTTTCTTGTATCATCCTCAAGAACTTCAGCCACGGCTATCAGAAAAGGCAGAAGGGGATAAGCCTACTCCATCCTGTCCAGTTCTGTCTTATAGCTGAGACTCCATCCTCCACTCAGACACTCCATTTGGCATAGAACACTAGTAAGAGGTGCTCTATAGGAGGCAGTTAGTTCTAGAAGTTCTATGTGCTCATATAGGCATTGGGTCTCTTCAGAAAGGTATGCAAGGGATTAATAGTATTGTTTCCCCTAAGGATGCAACCTTGAACACGCATGCTTTTATTTTTAACTCAATGCATATATTGTTTAATATCTATTCAAAAGTAAGACTAAAGGTAAAAGGAGAAACTTCCTAACTCGATCTTGCTTTCAAGAGGACAACCAGATGTTACACTGGAGGTCAAACAGCTTACGGAACAACAGTCGGTAATTTTATTACATTTCACTGGCCTTTAATTTCACTATGTTGATTGCCACTGCTTCCAACCAGGTCTCTGAGTATAAGAATATTATTCTCAGTGGATTTGCAGCCTGCTCCTACATTTTGAATAACCTGCAGAATACAAATGTCTAATTTAGGTAGAAGTAGATGCTCTGGGCAGCATGCTAGTACCCTAATCAGCTGAAAAATAATATTTGTTTGACATTAAAACCAAATTAATGGTAAGACACTGATTACATGAAAAGACTTTATGCTGTGATTACTAAACTTGCAAGCAGCTCGGCATAATTAATGTCTTAATGAGGATATGACCTGAAATCTCAGCTTCCAAAATTAATAAAGGCAATTAAAAGTCACATTTGTAAATTGAGCTTTAAGAATGGAAAGGAAGTTTGATGTAGATTCTTAACTCCTCATTTCTGTGGTTATTAAACTTAAAATGTGATTGCTCTGACTCCCATCCCCAAGGTCCCCAGCTTAGCCTGAAGCCTTAAGAGAGATTCAGAGATGTTCCCAAGAGGTCACTCATCAGCTGTGGACCGGGCCACAGCTTGGCACACTTCTGAAACTATGGGGCCAAAAGAAATAGTAGAGGCCTTATTTTGGTATAAGGAATGACACAGCATTTCAGACTTGGTTTTACCAAATCACTCGCCCACCAGTATTTATTTATTGGCCTGTCCTATTTTGTCACTAATTAGACCTTCTTTGGCCCTGAGCTTTGCCACATGATGGCCTATGACAACCTCAAGAAGCTTTCTAAGCGATGGTCGTCAGGCTGCCGTGTTTTGAAAATGGCAGCGGCTGATTGAGGCCAGTGCAGCTCTTCTAAGGCAAGTCTGAAATGCTGTGTCATTCCTTATACCAAAATAAGGCCTGAAAGGGTAAAAGATTTAATGTCAAAGCAAAATCATAGACATACTAAAAGGAGAAAGGAGCTGATACTTTTATAATATTGTAATCAAAAGAGGCTTTTTAGCCAAGGCAAGTATGACAAACATAAAACAGAAATGACTAATGATTGGTCTATTTCAATTTTTTAAATTCCATGCATTTAAAAAAGAACTAAGATTTAAAAAACCCAGTTCAAGATAAAACCCATGAAAATGCTAATTAAAATGATCAGGTGTTGCTAATTTTGTCTTTATTCTTCAATTGGGAAACAATGGGAAACAATGGGAAATAGGTACTGTGGTTTACATACAGGATGTTAAACCGAGAAAAATCGAAACGCTTCTGTGTTAAACAATGACTTGTAAAGTGACTAGATACATTGAGAATACCATAGGTTACAGGCGTAAAAGCAGGGTCGTTAATAACATCAAGATGCTTCCATTACTGGGACTTAGGAGAAAGAAAGGTGGGTGGAAACTGTAGACAAATTCAATTTAACCTTTGACTGTCTTATCTAGGCAGGAAAGGATGAAGGAAACAAACTCCCCATGAAAATTATTTTAAGGTAAAAATTACAGGTGCACACTGTCTTCATTTTTGATAGTTAAAAATTAGCGATTTTATACTTCATATGTCTTTTTATTTCTTAGGATTTTAAGTAAAATGGTATTTTGGTATCTCCCTCCATTAGCTATTAGAAGCAAATCAGCTATGAAAAGATCAAAACTAAAGGCCTCAACAGAGTCACTGACAGTATAGCATAAGTGACAAACTTTTCTACCAGATGTAGTGATGGACATCTACCAGATGTCACACGGGCTAAACCTCAGCTCCTGATTTGCTTAGGGTTCCTTCTTCCTTTGTCCTCGATGGCTCCCTCTCCAAGTCTAGAGTACTAACTACCCTTTCTCCAGGCTAGGCATCACACGATAATTCTTTCAGAAATCATTATCTGCTCTGAACTGTTGATGTTACAAGACAGGGAGCATGGGTCCAAAATTAAGATCACTTGGCCTGGGCGAAACCTTATGTCTTTAAGTTGGTACCACCCACCAGAAACTACCAGAAACTACCAGAAACTACCAGAAACTACCAGAAACTACCAGAAACAGGAGCCCAGGACCTGTCCCCACTGAACTGCCATGGTACCTGTAGGTTTTCTTAATTTCTTCGCATGATGCTCCCTTGTGCAGACCAAGAATTTCATATAGAGTTTCTCCTGTTGCTGACATAGTCCGCTGTCTTTGGTTGGGTATGTTACACGCCATTTCTCAAGCTACAAAACCAAAGAGGGGAAAGGGGCCATGAAAGTTATGCACGCTGGGTCCTGCCCCCTTGCAAGGCGGGGAAAAGTGCATTTTTAACACATGGTAAAATGACAGTCAGAAGTGCCCTTGTGTGCTAGGCCCCTATGAGGGGAGAAAATGTTGAGAGCTAAAAGCTGTTACCAGTCAAGGGTTACAAGGAGTCACGCCAAAGGAGCAGGGCTTTCCATGCCTGTCCCAGAAGTGTTGAGGAGCAACTCTCATAGGTTAGAAATGCAAGTGCTCCCTTTTGTTGCGGAAAATGTGTGTCTTTTATTTTTGTACGTTTTCCAAGTTTAGCTAGCCATGGGAACACTCCCTCATGTGATTCCGTCTCTACTGCTTGGTAAGATGGATCAGAAGATAGAGGGTGGCTGACAGCAAACTTGGTGACCCGAGCTTGACCTGAGGGACCCACGTGGTATAAGAAGAGCCATCAGTTAGAGATTACAGCCTGTCCTAGCGATGAAGTCATGGCAGCAGTGTGGGACCCATCTGGTCCTTGGCACCCATAGTCGGGGAAGCAGCTGTAAATGCTAGTATTTACTTCACTTTCTTCCTGTTGCTAAGTCTAGGAATCCAGGACGCCTAGTACTGCTGCCCATCCTCAGGTGGCTCTTCTTGCCTCAATTAACCCAAACTAGAAACACCCTTACTAACACGGATTTGCTTCCCAGCTGACTCTAGGTCCTCTCAAGTTGGTCATCAATAACAACCATCGCCATATGCAAGCCCTTCATTTCCGTCTTCTCCTGCCCACTCCTATCCTTTTTACTCTATAGTTTAGGATTACCTTGGCTTTATTTTTTAATGTTTTATGTTTGGTTTTTCGCTCCAGCATTAACTTTGCTTGTGTATTTTTTATGTTTTATGTTTGGTTTTTCGCTCCAGCATTAACTTTGCTTGTGTATTTTTTATGTTTTATGTTTGGTTTTTCGCTCCAGCATTCACTTTGCTTGTGTATTTTTTCCATTATTGGGCAGTATTTTTTCAAGTTGTTGAACTTTCCTCTCCGTAGCATTCTTCTCTACTCTTCTTCCCCCCCCCTACTTACCCTGCTTCACTATCCCCCCTTCTCCTGCCCCTCCATGTCATCCAGCTAGTATCTCTGCATTTGCCCTCAATGGTATATGACTTTCAGCAAGCCCTGTTTTACTGTTTTACAGTTGCCGCTGGATGACTAGGCTTTAACAAATTGTATGTGCGTTTCCATATTTTGCTTAGTTTGATGTTGCTGCTGTTACAGCAGCTTCCCCCCCCCCCCCCTGTGAATGGTACTGGGAATCAGCACTCAAAAGGAAGCCGCTCACGAATACGCTCCGATAAAAGTGAAAGAGACATCCAAACCCACAGAAGCACAAGTAGGAAAAGGAGAGGCAACGTGACCCATCCAAACCCACAGCCCCTTAAAGCTTAAAGACATTGGAATGGGTCCAATGAGAGATAAATAACTGATATGTTTACTTATAGAAATAATCAATGATGTAGAAGAGGAACTCAAGACTGGAGGAATAGACCCAGAAACATAACTGAGAAAGTTGGCAAACATGGATAAGACATGCAAACTAGAAAACTGAGGCTGGGGAGGGAGGGCAGAAACAGAGAATTTGGAAGTTGAAAACACCTAATCAAATAGAAAGCAAATGGAAAGGGTTCGCCAGGAGACTTGACCAAGCAGAAGAAAACGCACCAGGGCTGGTGGAAAGGGGAGACAGGATAGTGCATTCAAACATCAACTACATAAACATTAGCATGGCTACAAACTCAAAAAACTGCAGAGACCAAATCTACCCTAGACCATATTGTAGACGGAGATTAAACGAAAGGCATAGAGAAATCTAATGAAATCACAGAAAATTCCCCAAATCTAGGGAAAGAAATGGATATATAAGTATAGATAGTTGAAAACTCCAAATAGTCCCGATTGGAGAACCTCTCCAAGTGTTAGCAAACCCCAGTTCAAATAGGGGAGAAAGAAAAGAACAATCATTTAACCATGTTTTAATTACAGGAACTAGAATACCTCTATCGGTAAAAACTGTCAATTTGCATGGTCTTAACTCTCCAATTAAAAGATGAAGACTAGCTGACTGTGTTAAAAGAGAAAAATAAAATTATCCATTGTCTCCTGGTAAAGCAACACACTAGCAAAGACACAGGTTAAGAAGGGAACTGTGGAAGTTAATTTACCAAAGCAAGTGGAAGTTCAAACCCAGCTGGCGTAGACATCTTGATCTGATAAAATGAAGTCAGAACCAAGGTTATCCAGAAGAGATAAAGAAAGCCCCTACACGTTAATAATAGAAACCACCCATGAAGAAATATGACAGAGCCAGACATGGTGGTGCACAGCTGTAATCATCTGTAATTGTGACACTTAGGAGGCAGAGAGAGTAGAATTGGGAGTTTAAGGCCAGTCTCCAGCAAACAGTGAGTTTGAAGTGTATTAGACCCTGTCTCACAGGAAGAACAAAAGCAACTCAAGAAAAGGAAAAAAAAAAAAAAAAAAAAAAACAAGTTTGCGTCGAGCATTGGGCTTCCCAATGTTGAGAAATACCAAGAGGCATAGAAGAAAGGCTGGGTACTGACTCAGTAGTCGTGGTGACGTCTGCATTTTGCTGTCGCCAATGGGCAGATCGTCCAGACCAAAGTGCACCAAGCAATTTGGGAGTTAATCTGCACCATAGATCAAATGGACCCAGCATACATTACAGACTATGCCATCTGACAGCTGTAGGAGAGATTTTTTTTTTTTCCTCAAGAGCATATGGAAAGCCTTCCAAATTAGCCTTCAAGTGATCTCATGTATCAGATTATAATGGAATGAAACTAGAAAGCAATAGAAGGAGAAATCAGATACTAAACAAGTACTTAGAGATTGAACATCAAATTTTTGAATGGTCAATGGGCTGCTTAAAGAAAATGATATCTATCAAGGATATTTTTTTTTAATTCAGCAACAAAACTAAAAAAAAAAACAGAACTTACTAGGACCTCTGAGATGCCACTGAGGCAGTTCTAAGATAAACATTTATAATTGCTCATAATTAAAATGTTAATTGGAGAGATTTCAAAGACTTTAGTAACTTACACTAAAGTCTTAGGGAAACAAGAACCAGCCAAAACCCAAATAAGTAGATAAAAAAAATTAAGGATGAAATTAATGAAATGAGAATCAAAGAACAATACATACAATTTAACAAAAAAAAATTGAAAAAAAATGAACAGGATTGACAAGTTCTTAACCAAAGTTGAGGGGGGGGGAGAGAAATTAGTAAAATTAAAAAAAAATAAGAAACACTACAACAGATAGCAATAATCCACAGGGTAATTAGGAAAAATTGAAAACACATTCAAGTATACTGGAAAATCTGCAACAAATGAGTAAATTTCTAGAAATATGTTACCTACAAAAACTAAATCAAATGGATATAATTAAAATAAATCAATAAAAGGATGCACATTATGCTGTCTTCTCTGCAGAGCTGTAGCCTCCAAAAGAGATGCAGGTCTGGCATTCCTGGTAAGCCAAGACCACGTGAAAATGCTTAGATTAATAGAAAAATGTGTTAATAGTTGAGTCAGAACCAGTCAATGAGAAACCATGGCTAATGGTGAACAGTGTCATAATATAATAATAATAAAAGATATACATTAAGCAATGAGATTAAAATGGTAATGAAGAATCTCACACCCAAGAAAATTCCACAATTCGGGACTTCACTGCCAAATTCTAGCAGAATTTAAAAAGAACCAGTTCTATATAGGAGCCAACACTGCTCCAAAAAAGAAGGGAAGAAAGAAGAAAATGAAAGGAAGAAAGAGAAGAAAGCCAAGGAACACAAATCATCCTACGAACCTGTATTACCTTGACATAAAACTAGAAGGCAAGAGAAGACTTTTGGGGAATATAGAAAAGTTATATAAAATATATTACAGTCAGTATAATCCGTACAGACTGAATCCAAAATCACAGCGGCGAAGTTCTGCACTGTGACAGCTGGTTTCATTCAGGACTCAAGGATGGGTCACCATGCACAAAGCAACAGTACAATATGGGCACACCATCATCTCAAGAGACCCAGACTCTTCCTTGACAAGGTTCATTTTATCCCTTGACAAAGTTCACCATCCTTCATGGGAAAAACCCTGGAGAACATAGGGATATAAGGAATATACCTCAGCGTAGTAAAGGCTCCCTACAGCAAGGCCCACAGGAGCGTACTGAGTAGGAAAAAAAATGTATTCCCTCTAAACCAGGAACTACGGTAGGTGTCCGTTTCCCTCCACCCTTATTCTCCTTGAATCTCAGTCCTTGAATCTTAGCCATGAGGAAAAAATTAAAAGGGACACCAAAGTAAGGAAGTCAAATTATTCTAATTTACAAATGACACCATTCAATATTTTGAAGACATAAACAAATCCGGAAGAAAGCTCTAGGACCCATTAGACACAGCAAAATAGCAGACTATTAAGTCAACAAATGAAAAACTTCCTGGGAGTGGGGGGGGGTCACTGTTGTCAGAAGCTTTAAAAATATAACTCGGAATAAAATTAACCAAGGAAATAAAAATAAATAAATAAATAAATAAATAAATCCCTCTGTGACAAAAACTTTAAAATGCTGAAGAAGACATTATAGTTGGTGGGAAATTTCCCATATTCATTGCTTAGCAAAATGGTTTTAAAAACATCTCTATCATTAAGTATTCTCTATAGATGCAGTACGTTTCCCCCAAAAATTCCAATGGCAGTCTTCACAAAACTAGACAAATAAATCCTGAAATCCATATGCTAGCTAAAGTAATGCTATGCAGAGAGAACAATGTTGGAGGTATTTCAACACTTGATCTCAAATTATACTACTGAGCCATAGTAGCAAAAAGACCATGATACTGGCACAAAACCAGACATAGAAGAATAGAAAACCTAGAAAAACAATTACATAGTTACAAGTTACCTAATTTTTGAC